TCGTTAGAACATACCCAAAACCTATACTTAGAACATTTCCAAGCTATACTTAGAACATCCCAGTGGGGAACCAATGGGAACCATACATATATGTTCAAAATTATACATAATTCATTTTAGCTCATTTTAGTATTGAAACCTATGCTTTTTGACTACCTCCTGTAGGAAACCCACAAATTATATACTAGAGTTACTAGAGACCTTCCCATTGCAGCGAAGACTGCTTGGGATATTGTTCCCGAAGAAAAGGTATAGAATGCTGCAGCAGTGAGGGGAGAAAGTGTTCTAAGTATGGTGTTCACCAAGGTATTTGTGTGGATATATGCAGATTTACCAAAGTAACAGGACATGTTCTAAGTATATGTGTGTTTAATGTTCTAAGTATGCAAAAAATCAAAGGAGATGTTCTAAGTATCTGTTTTTCTGATGTTCTAAGTGCGTACTTAAAACATTTCTGATGTTCTAAGTGTAGTTGTTTTGATGTTCTAAGAAAAGGTTCCGAAATTTTGGGAAAAAATGATGTTCTAAGTATATGTCCGTCACTATACGTTTTCTCATGACGAGCGTTGCCCGGCGCTTTGCATTTTGACAATCACCCCAAGAAAGATAGACAAGTAAATCATCATAGGGATTTACTTGGAGATAGCTATATCATTTTGATTTATTATATCATTTTTTCTATGTCATCTAGATAGTGGATTCTTATATCATAGCATTCCATTTATTTGGGGGTTGCTATATCATTTAACCAGTATCCAACGATCAATGGAGTGTTTCTGTGACCGCCCGAGGATTCTTGAACACGGACATCTTGGTGGTTGTTGCTGGAAACAAAACGGTCAACTCGGCATTTCCGGTTGCGCACTAGCTACTGCCATATGAAGTTCTTCGGCCTGCGAGAGCTGTTGGAACAAGGCTGCTATAAGCCTCAATCTGAAAGGTGGCAGCCTTGTCAAGCTCTCGCTGTTTTCAATCTTTCGTGTTCCGAAAATGGATGACATTTTCAATGCGCAGACCTTCTGACACTTCGCAGTTGGACACTCCGCTTGCCGCCCAAGCAGTGTCCCTGCGGCAGCAGAATGCAACTGCAGCTAGTGGGACATGAGGCGAAGGCAGCAAGTATGGGATAGTGCGAGTACGTGGCAAAGAACCACGATTTTTCTGGTCCTGGAGCCTAGAACGCATGTGGAACACTTCCATGCAAATCTGGTGCACCGAACTTTGGCGCCGCCGTGTGCTGCTGGCCAAAAAGCGCTTATGTGGCCCACGTGGAAATGCTCCGGTGAACTAAGTGGGTGTATACCCATAGGCCCATATGCATCATAGGCCGAAAAATCTCCCAACTTCTCGGGATGAACTCACCATGTTTATACCGTATCAAGCACGGATTCATCCCAATGATTTCCACACATTTTCGTAGAGATTAGTGGATTTACTGCTGACTCGACCCAAAAAAAAAGACATTTTTTTGGGGTTCGCCATGGGTCGCCAGTTGAGAATAGTGGGTTTCCTGTCTGGGGACTGAGTTGGTTGATCATTTGCACATGAACCATGGGATTTTGGAGCCGATTCTAGCCTTCAAACACGTTGAAGAAGGGCTGTGAAGGAGTAGTATCCAGTGTCTGACCAAGAAAGTGCTGCCCTTCCGAAATTGCTTCCTGGTGGCTCTGTTTAATGGGCTTTCATTCGAAAGGATCCTTTGGGGATTTGTCGTGAACAATGTATCGATGTATCGTCAGCGCAGAATCCTTTGCGCAGAGGCCCAAACACACCAGCCCCATAGGTCTGAGACGCCCCCAGCCCCACTGGTCACTTTTGTTGTGTCACATTCTGATCCTTCATTTTCTGGTTGGTGGTTTGGAACATGAATTTTATTTTTCCATATATTGGGAATGTCATCATCCCAACTGACGAACTCCATCATTTTTCAGAGGGGGTAGGTCAACCACCAACCAGTATAGGAAAATAGCCAACATCGATGGGAGTTTCCATAATATATGGGATGTCATCCTTCCCATTGACTTTCCTATGTTTCAAGATGGTTATTGCACCACCAACCAGTCCATGTCAGATCATCCCAAGTGACTCATGTTCAGCGGGCTTGAGCCAACTGGTCAACCTGGTCACCGGCCGAACGATCTGAAAGTAGCAATGTGATGATTCCATCGCGCGATCATGTCGACGCAGAAGGCCTGGCTTTTGTGGACACCTCCAACTGTTGTACCCTCTGGTAAACTAACATAGCTATGGAAAATCACAATTTTTACTGGGAAAACTCACATAGCAAACTGTTAGTTTACCAGAGGGTAATTGGCCAACTTGGGCAACCTCTCAATGACTTTGTCGGTTTTAGATGATTTAGTAGCTGTCTACCCTCTGGTAATCAAACATGGCAATGGAAAAATCCTTTGAAGTTGATTTTCCCATTAAGATCATTAAGACTTCTATATTTGTAGGGCATTTTCAATTGCTATGTTTGATTACCCTTGCTTTATTGAATTCATGCTTTCACTTCGTGTCTCAACTCGGTATGGGTTGTTTTTTTGGGAGTTTGACTCAGAAGTGGAAGGGGTATCACCACCTTTACGGGTGCGCCGTTAGTTCAACAGATTCCCCGTGTTTTTTGTAGTGGAAAAAATCGATGGACTCAGAGTCGCTGTCGCACCAAAAGCCGTTTTCCAAATAGACACTTGGCAGTTTCCCGAGTGGTTCACCAGCCTCTGGTAAACGTTTACAGTTTGCGAACTGGAACATCACCATCCTTGGTAAATCAAGGATTTCGGCCATGGCTTCAATAGCAAACTCTGCAAAAAAACCTTCCGGGTATGACAGAAACAAGAAACGAAGTTTGGATGCACCGCTTGATCCCATGACTTCCATAAATTGCGATTAATTTTCGAGTTTTCCATCGCCATTCTCCCAGGTTTGCTGGTGACATCTCCAATTTTTGTCGTTTTTGTTTGGTATACTTATATACCCTCTGGTAAACTAACATAACTATGGAAAATCACCATTTTTAATGGGAAAATTCACTATTTCTCTGGTGATTTTCCATAGTTATGTTAGTCATTACCAGAGGGTAGATGTAACTGTTTCTCACATCTCCAATTCTTGTTGCTTCCATCAAACATTCTAACATGTTGCAGTCATGTGTTTTTGTTGCAGTCAAAAGCGTTAAATTCCATAATATGGGACACCCAATAATATTTCACAGAGGGCTTAGTAAGGATTATGTATTAAATATCACTAATGATTCTAGGGAATATATATAATGACTATTTATTGAGATATAAATCATCCCCAAGTTTGAGGTTTCTGAAATTGGGCATATCCCCATGACAGGCATGATGTTTGTGATGACATCCAGTCATGGTTGATGAATGGGATGATTTATCATTGGGTGTACCTCATAGTTTGCCTGGGATCAACCTCCATACCAGGTGGTGCCGCCCAGTTATATTTGTTGGTTCATAAACTTTATAAACCCCATGAATCCTAGACAAAAACATACCATAAACCCAAGAGTTGCATCAGTTACAAACCAACCTAGCTAAGTATTGACCGTTTTTACCAGTTATTGTTGGTTTATAAGCCCTAAGTAGGAATCAACATCCATAACAGTACGGGGTGCCCAGAGCCCACATCGCTGCAGGTTTCACTCTGGTGCCGCACCCGCCGGCTGGGGGTTTTTGGGGTGGGCTTGGAGCCTGATCATCAAGCGACACAGGGATCAACATCATGGGATATTAGGCCATTTCAATGGGAAACATATACCAATGGAACATGTTAATAGTGATGGTTCATAGTGCTTAATAGGCTATAAACCAACAACAATGGGAATATTATGGTGATCTGGTTGGTGGTTTGGAACATGAATTTTATGACTTTCCATTCAGTTGGGAATGTCATCATCCCAACTGACGAACTCCATCATTTTTCAGAGGGGTAGGCTCAACCACCAACCAGTATAGGAAAATAGCCAACATCGATGGGAGTTTTTTTTCAGCATTTTACCGGAATCATATTGGGTTATCATGGAATATTCATGGAAGATGACTGGATCTACCGGTCATCACAAGTTTTGGCATTTTTTCACCAGTTTTGAACCTGGATTTGACAATGATTTCATGGGATTTCATGGGAAAATCATCAACGGAGAGACCACAGACACGGGACATGACGGACATGGGGGTTTCCATAGGACTCTCCCCATGGCTGGATGGTTTTGATGGAAAATCCAAGTAAAATTCGGATGATTGGTTATCTTACTGGTGCTAAACGCAGGGAATGGATGGGTTGCTGGGGGTTGCTGGGATGATGAAATTACTAGTGATGAAATGGATCATTCCCAAAAATTCCCTGCGTAAAACGCACCAGTAAATTATGTAACCCAATCTATCCGGAGACCATAAACTCACTGGCGAGTTGTGCCTGTAAAAACGTGGACTGGCTAAACTCGGACCTTGGATCCACATTGCCGGTTTCCGGTTACTGGACGCTTCCCATTCAACCAACGGGGGGTAGATGATGCGCTTGGCGCCGGCGCCTCGATTTGCGGCATGCCGCAATGAGTCAGAGAACCATGTTGAGTTACGGTGAGTTTCGGATCTCGAACATGGTGAAATATGGACATCCATGGAGTGGTGGAAAACCTCAGAGACCATGAACAGTCAGCAGATTGACATTGTTGAACACAGGTTTTTGCTACTCGACTGCCACTGCTTTTGCAGTTGCAACATCCCACAATCTGGCTGCTGGACTGACACCTGCAGGCTTTCAGTAGGATCCAAACATCAAAGCCACCTGAGAGCAGCAGCAACAACACAACATCACCCAGTGAGATTGCAGAAACCATGCCACTATATGCCACTGACAACGCCCTTTTGCAAGCTTATTCATTGATCGAATGTATTTTGCCATAGATTTTTCTTGCCACCAACTTCACCCCACCCAAAAGGGGCGCAAGATTCAACCCCAACTCCCCGTTGCGGGCGTTGACACTCTCACCGCTCCGCCGCGTCGCGGTCTTCCCGTGATGGACCTCGAGGTCGGCTTCTTCATAGCCATGGACGGCGATGGATCAAAATTGAAGCCCCAGGGACCACAGATTGGAATGGATTAATGTTTACTATATAAACATATATATGTATATATATAGGTGATACTGTATATATCATGATATATCTATACTTACTATGGTTTATATAAACGTATATTGACCATCTAATTCCTGGGATACTCCTCATGACCTGATACCCAAACGAAATCTGTGGAGTTTTGAAGCCATGACTCCCGCAAGATTGGACAACTCCGTGGTGTCCTGGATTGGTTTCCGGTCGTTGGCCAGTTCCTTTGAGTGAAATCCATCTCTGGCAGCAGGTCAATAGAAATTCTGATTCAAAGGATGTTGACAGTTGATCTACAGTGGTCTTAAGGTTGACCTGGCCATTTATCAGCGTTGACATTTGGACAACATTTGGGCGAACATCGGGCTTGGGATTTGTCCGAAAATAGGCATAATTCGCTGGACCACCAGAACTTTTTAGCACAGAAAGAACCCCCATCCGAGTCAAGATTGTTTCAAATGCTGCTTATTTGTCGTCCTTAGGCCGGATGAAGGTTCCATTTGACGGTTTTTCTTGGGGTTTTCTTGGGATTTTCTCTGGTTACCCACAGAAATCAACGACTTTTGCGTGGCAGGTGCAGCTTTGAAGGTGGGATGTCCAGTCAGCGAGCTCAGCGAAATGGGCTTCTGGGAGATGAACCACCCATCTTAGAATGGGCTTCTGCACGTAGGGTTTCTCTATTTACATTACCAATTATAGTAAGATAATAAGGTATGCAGTACTTCTCTATCTTATCAATATATATATAGAATTATATATATATATATACACGTATGTGAAAGGAAGTAGGATCCTCCCTTTCACACTGGCAGCCCACTGAGCCAGACCTTGTCCTCAAGGTGAATTGATTGATGAAAGTATTTGAATGGTCTTTCTCAGATTCAAAATGAAGTTGTCCTCAACTGGATGTTTGATCTCCAAGGAGGTGTCCGCAACTCCAATGCACCCAAATGGCTGACGCCGCAGTCGCTTTTCCTCACCAAGTTCCTGTGGAATGGGCCCTTGAGCCACCAGGTTCACAACGATCGCAGACGGTTGTCTACCGCATCGGAAGTCCCCAAGACAATCGAATGGTGGAACATGACAAATGGAGATTTCTGAAATCACATTCATCTATCTTCAAAATTCGACTGTGTTCCCATATTTTCATTTGCCCAGGTTACCCCGTACTTCCTGTTAGCATTTTGTTTCAGAGTTAGATCTTCATCAAAGATACGGAAGCGTCCCAACTGCAAAGCTGTTCTCATGAGGTTGGCATCCATAACCTTGGTTAAACAGTCTGCAAGCATTAATGGCAGTGGAGATCCATCGGCATTGCGCGTGGTCTTTGGACTGTTCCTTAAGTAGCGTGACTTCTATTGTAGTTCTCCATTCCTGGCAATTAGGGACCGCGTTTTGGGTCACTACTGTAAGTCTTAAAGAGATTTACAGTCAGCAGTCATCAGTCCAGGAAATTCCTGCTTAAGGGCAGTCTCGGGTCGGGACCATGCAAAGCTGGGATCTTCAATGGATCCCCACATGCAGCGGATCCACGTCAGCTTGTCCAGGGAACTAGACATTGCATAGGCTTCTGCGCTTAAAGTGGACATTGCTACATGACCAATCTCCCATGATGAAGAGTCCCTGCTGTGCTGACAGTGGTTTCGCCGAAGCGAAGCTGGCACCTCCGAAGCTGGCGAAGCAATTTTTTTATGGGAATTGATCGGATGATCACTGAAGTTTCAGCATATGTTTGAGCCTCTTTCAACACTCGGCTTCCTTCAAGAAGTGTCTCCACAGTTGGCTTGTTGATCCCCTTTTGGAGATTGGCGACACGAGAAGCCAGATCCGGCCGAGAATGGACAGCGGCGTATTGAAGACTCCCACAGAGCCCCCGCAGTTGCTGCATTTCTTGAGCATTATCAAGCTTTCGGGTTCCGTTCTTCTCGGTTTCGGGACATCTATTGGTGCAATTTTGTGGATGTACTTTCCTTGGCTTACTTTAAATGGAATAGTCTGGTAGTTGTTCAATATCAAGTCCGGAAAACTTAAGCCTTCCATATTCCCTAGTCCCAAATGGTAGGGTCTTTTGAAGTTCATTCAAGGCTTTTTCGATGTGCTCCTTTTTGTTTCGCAAGAGGAACAAGCAATTGTCTAGGGGATGTGCACTAAAGCCAACATCTTCAAGTCTCCCACGGAATTCCCCACAGAAAAGCACTCTTCCACATGCGTTCCCCTTTAGAAGGCATACATGGTTCTCTGACATGCCCATGAGTTCACGTAAGCCTATTGGGGCTTCCATGGCTAGTTCTCGGTCGTCCTCTTAGGAATGCTGTGGTTATGTCAAAGCCCTGGACCATCCACTGATGACTTGACACAGTCTGCAGCAGGAGCATCCGAGAGTCTCTGGTCATTGTTGGACTGTCGGAGTTTAGAGTTCCTATGTCAGGGTCCTGGAAGCCCTTGACCACTAGCCGGGCTTTGGCTTTTTCTACCACTGGGTTCCTGTGGATCACCTTTCCAAGTCAGAATCCATCGTGAAGACATGATTCGGGTTGGATGGATCCTATCCCTAAGAATGGCCTGTACCGTGTTTGTGTCTAACCAACATTTGAGCTCCTTTTGTTTGGCTTGCTGAGACATTTTTTTTTCCCCCTTGGCAAGTTCACTATATTTATTCATCTTTACTGATCTTGCTGAGGGTTCACCGCAGGGCATACAAACAGCATAAATGGTTGCAGTTGGTACTGGGTGCTTGTGCTGCTTCCTTAGTTTTGCTGGTGAGAATGCAGCTTCCAGGTGCACGCACGGCAGCTTCTGCTTGCGCTTCTGCCCAAGATAAGATCGCATGGCGGAGGCTGAAGATCGCAAAGGGGATTTGGCTGGCCTGGAGGAAGGCATGTGAGTCTCCATGAAGCATTCGATTTTGTGTTCCTGCGTAGGACAGGACACCGATTTTAATGTGGTGGTGATTTTGCGCCGGAGAACGGTAGCATGGCCACCAATGGTCAGCCAGCTTTTCAGCAGCGCAGTGCCATTGTGCGGCGCAAGATGGATTTTGCTGTCCGCAGCGTCGAATGGTATGCCTGTGCTGCCGTGATCATTGGCAGTGTCCTGTCACAGTTTGTACCACTGTGTGGCTTTTTTCATTTGTGTGGGGTTGCCAGTTTTGTCCTGATGAGAAAAGGAAGAATGTGGTTTCAGTGGAAGCATTGCGTATATGTGAGACCACCTGGACATTGCAGTGGTCGCAGCATCTCGTTGAAGCGGGATTGGGTGCCAGGACCTGATTGTATCTGCATCATATCGAAACTCTGTGGCAGGATCGGGCTCAGGGATAATCACCTGCAAGGTGTGTTGTTATAGCATCGTTGAATTGAGATGTTGGAAAAGCAGCAGCTCCTAAGCCGGCTGCGTCCCTCCACAGCTGCCGACAATGAATTTGAGTGAGGTGCTGAAGTTGGGCCCATCCCCAATCAACGGAGTCAACGTCGTTGGCCGAGTCGTGATGCTCTTTTGGCATTCAAGCTCGGTACCCCATCTTCAAGATGGTGGTGTGTGTGTGTGGCAAAAATGAAGCGACGGAGGAAAATGTCGAGGAGATGACGCGGGTGCTTGTGAAGTGCAGCTCGAAGCCTCCAACCCCGGTGGCCTTGGATGATTTGATCCTCTTGCAGGCAGCAGAAATTCGTCCAGCTTGGCGTCGTTCTGGGGTCCTTGCAGAAGCATGTTTGATGCCAGGGCTCGCTAGCAAAGAGCTGGCCTTGAACTTCCCCAGTGGCAAACGCAAGCGTGGTTTGGAGCATCTTGGCTATTAGCTTTTGCGATATGTTTTTTTTGGTTCCGGTGGTATTTTTCTGCTCGTAGCATCAGTTGAGGATTTGTTGGTGAGTTGGCCAATAATAAAAGAACAAACCATAGTCAATATTGCAGCCACCCAATTATCAATACTGTACGCCTTATGAAGTATCAAACCCGGCAACTGATTCTCGATTTATGTTGCATCGGACATTAGGAGCTTTCCAGTGACTTTTCCTGTGGACGTCTCGTGCCACACATGATGCTAAACGGATATGAAGAATGATGGGGAGGAGTGGTATGTGGTTGGTTTTTGCATTGCGGTGGATGTGGGGCACCCACTCGTTTTTGGGACGGATTGTGGACATACAGGAGTGCGACCGAAGCATGGACATGCAGCTTTTACTGACCCGCTGCACAAATGGATCATGAAGAGGCCAAAGTTTAGCGGCACAGGGATTGATGGTGACAGTGTCTGGAGTTGCTCGGCCTGGGCCCAGGTCGAGGATCACTGTGTTGGCCAATGACCCTGCGTACCCGATGTCCAGCTTTGATATGTTGCCGGGCTTGGGCCATGTGACGGCAACGGAGGGTGACTTGTACTTCTGCGTTGCGCTGCGTGTGTTGGAGTATGGCCTGATGATGGGAGAGCCTGACACTCCCCGGCGCACGATTCAGGTGGTGGACGTGGAAGGAGGATGGTCCCCGTTCCTGGGCTGAAAAGTGTTGGTGTCGCATTTCGTGTGCTGTTCTGGCACATCGTCAGAGAGGCTAGGTTCTAGCTGGGGTTGGTGCAATGATGAGGCTTGATTGTATGCAGGTGATAGGTGATAGTCCTGGCGTCTCGGTCTCTGAGGTGCGAATGTGACGCTGTTTGATGGTCACTGCGAGGATCCAAGGGTGAAGCCCGATGGCAGGATCGTCATCTGCGGCATTTGCATCAATCAAGCTGGAACTTTCAGCGCATGTGCGAACATGTCCAGCATTATGAAATGGGAGTAGCGGGTGAAGTGTACACCTGGGCGATGTTTTTCATGCAGTGGGTGGACCACAATATATATATATATGTATCTATATCTATATATATAAATATGTATCTATATATATATATATGTATATATATATGTATATATATATAAGTTCGATGTACTGAACTAAACCCAATAGTGAACCTACTGAACTAAAACAACCTGGCTCTGGGCAGCAACTTGAGCAGAACTCAACAAATTAATGGCATGACACTCCGCTAAATAAATGGAGTGATTATTCAAACCAGCAGTTTTAACCAAGCGTTGGTAATTTTTATATTGACATTTCACTTTTTTTCCAGTTTTCCCAGGTGTTCACTAAACTTCACTAAACATCACGATGTTTTTTCATTCCCTTTGAGGTTTTGACCAACAAAATACAGTGGTTTCCTTCATAAAAAACATCGGTTGGGATTAATTTGGAAATTTCCCACATTTGGGGTACCCGCAAATCATGTTATAAAAAATTGAATTTTCGATCATAAACCATCCAACTATTGGGGTACCCCATTTTAGGAAACTTCCATTTCCACTCAAAAACCCCAATTTTTTCCACTCTGAGGTCAACCCCGTGCTCCGAATGGGACACCCAGAAAACCCGACTGGACGGGCGTGGTTGGGGTTGGTAGGGTCAAACAACAGAAAGGGTGGGAACTGCAGAAAAAACGTGGCAAAAATAGAGATTTCACCAGCAAACATAGTGGTTTAAGCAGAAATCATGGTGATTTTTGCCAGTCGAAATGGAGATTTTAATCTTAACATAATTTCACCTGCAAAGATTGAGATTTGATCAGATTTGACCAATGAAAATGGGAATTGAACCAGGAAAATTGTGCATATCGTGGGACCAGGAGGTGGCCAGCTTGTAACAAAAGGGGTATTGCTACTTGGAGGATCATCAGTCCCCATTCAGTGGTTTATCCTATCTATGGGTGAACTAAAGATGGTTATTCACCAGTTACGATCTATGGGATGATCCTCCAGGTAAATTTTTCTGTAGTGTTGATGCTACATCTGCTTGGTGGTTTGGAACATTGTTTTTATTTTTCCATTCAGTTGGGAATGTCATCATCCCAACTGACTTTCACTCCATCATTTTTCAGAGGGGTAGGGCTCAACCAGCCAGTCCTTGTTGCCACTTCTGATTTGCCATGGAAAATTTTTCCAAATGGTGTACGACCTGGTGGAACCGGGTAGGCAACCTGTGAGATCCACTTGAGATCCATCTTTCCTGAGGCGAGAGCCAAAAGAGCCGCGTGAGGCGGGCGGGGCTTGGTGATTTCCGTATCAATCCATCAAAACGGGAAGTTTTGAGCAAAAACGAAGGGAGACTTCACCAACAAAACTTGGGGTTGAACTGTTTTTTTACCATGGAAATTTACTACATTGGGATTTGAGGGACAATGGTGGTGGTATCAAGGGTATGTCACCAATACGTTTGGTTCCGTGCTTTCGTTTGTGTTTTGTTTCTCAGGCACAATTTTTGTATTTTCAGGACAGGTCAAAACCAATAATGTGGATAAAACAATGTCATAAACCAGCCCATTTTTAATGGTTTATACCACCCATAAAAATGGTGATTTTGGGGATGGTTTATGGCATTGTTTTAACCACATTAGTTGACCAATACTCGCAGCTGTTGAAACAGCACAGCACTTGGGTTCCGGCCAGGGCCGGGAACGAAGTGAGAAGGACCGCAGGGAGTCTCAGAGATGGGCGACGGCTATCAATTGCTTGGGTTCCGGCCAGGGCCGGGAACGAAGTGAGAAGGACCGCAGGGAGTCTCAGAGATGGGCGACGGCTATCAATTGGGTACGTCTGAAAATTGAGTAATGTGGTTAAAACAATGCCATAAACCATCACCAAAATCACAATTTTTATGGGTGGTATATATATATATATATATCATTCCAAAAATCGGGTGGTTTATGACATTGTTTTAACCACATTATATTCCCAAAAAGCTATGAAATGATAGGGAAAATGAAGGCTCTATGTTGGCCATTCCCTGGTAGAAGGTGGAATGGTTTACCATAAACTTGATCGTCGACCCCTTCCCGGCCAGGGAAAATGAAGATCATTCGTTGGAGTTGGGAGTACCGAATACCCTATTTGCAGACAGACGCAAGTCACTGGATTCGTTGATGGGAAAATCTGCATGAATCCATGGTTTTTCCCATAACAATGGAGGATCAACCCACTAAGTGGTTAGTCTATGGAAAATATGGGACATATATTAGACATATAGCAGTTGCACTTTTTCACTGTGGCAAGTTTGGATCTTTCTTTGGTGCCATGCCAGTCAAACATGACAAGCTGCCACTGACAAGCGAAATTGAATATGAAAGCTGAACCTGCATCACACCCGAAGGACATAGGAGACTCCCGTTGAAAACATTGTTTTATGATCCGTGTTGATTTTGGCATATTTCGGTTGCAAAATCATTGCAACTATTGCATGAGCATCACTCAAAGACTAGGTACCCATCGCACCGTGTATTGCGGTACAGCACTATCGACCCACCCATGCTCTACAAAAGTAGAAACCTGCACACGGTATGCAGGCAACAAAGCTGCCGCAGGTTTTTGCACCTTGTGTTGATGAACGTTCAATTAAGTCAAAAATCCAAAGGACCCCACCGATGTTGATTGCTGAGACAAGGGTTTCGAGGGTTAAGTTTTCCTTTTTTTAAGGATAAGATATGATAAGGTACTTTTTTTCCCCCTCAAGTGAAGGGTTTTTGGTGTAAAATCATCATTTCACCATTTTTTACAGGTAAATAACATGGTTTACAGATATTTCCAATGAATTTTACCATAGTTTCTCTTGAACCAAAACCTGTCACGACAGCGCGAAACTCCTTCCTTCCTGCATCCTGAGGCGAACGGCGGCATCGCGAGGTGCGTTTTTGGTGCGTTGTTTGGGCGCTTGATAAAGAAAGCAACGCACAAGGATCTAGATTTTGACCAAGAAAAAAGAAGATTTTACCAATAAACCTTGGAATTTCTGGTTTAAACCCCTTGTTTTTTCCGGATTGATGTTATCTACCCATCATTGTCAGTCCCCATTCTTGTTAATATTGATCAAATCCTCAATGTTTCTGGTTAGAATTTTCATTTTTGTTGTCGACATTTTTCTTGTAGATGTTGGTTACATACCAAATGAAGGGCCCCACTCAGTTACATAACTTTGTTTCCTACCGCATCCAACTAGTTCGATATATCCACCATAAATCCAACACTAATTATAACATTTTAGTTCTTCATCAAATTGCCTATCATAAAGCAACTCTAGTTGTCCGAAATCCCAATTCTTGCGGGTGAACCTTTCATTTTTGGTGGATCAATCATGACAAAAATCCCAATTTTTGCTGCTTCAAGCGGTGAAATCTCCAAGTTTCGGTAGCGAAAACCGCAGGGCAAAGAGCACCGTGACAAACCGCGACCGCCGCCTCCAGAGGCGAGTTTTCGTGGGGTTTCGTGGGGTGAAGGTCCCTCTGGAAAACTCATGGTGTTTAAAAACTAGGGCATGATATATTAATATATTCCTTGCTTTATAATTGTTGTTGATGGTCATCTAATCAAAATTTAATTCATTATAGGTTATTAAATCCTCTGGTAAACTAACAGTTTGCGAACTGGAAAATCACCGTATTTAATAGATAAATCAACGAACTTATTTCAATGGCTATGTTAAATTACCAGAGGGTAAGTTGATGACATCTATGAAAAGGTTGCGATCAGCACATAAATATCATTTATGACGTGGTGGATGAATGTGGATGATTGTGGATGAATCTGGATTATGATCTTAACCAATATTGTCGAAGGAAGTTTAGAAGTCAAACTTCCGACAATATGGACAGATGGAAAAGCAGGTGGGAAGAGTCAGAGAAGAGAAAAGAAGAAAGAAGATCAGGGAAGAGAAAGAGTCGGAGGAAAGAAGATGCAAGTGCGCGAAAAGGTAGAAAAGTCGCGGTTCACGGCGTTTTTCCAATGATTTGTGGCTGCAGAGGGTCGAAAAGTAGGCTAGTTAAAGCGGCGGGTGCGGAGCCATCTGGCCAGATGAGAGATGAAAAATTGCACGCCGTTGTGGCGCGAAGCAATTTCGAAGTCAAAACGTACAAAACACACCACGCTTGGAGCACTGTTGGAAGTTGAGATGTCGAAAAAGTGCACGCCGTTGTGGCGCGAAGCACATGTCGAAGTCGGAGAATTGCTGCATTTTGGATGTTGGATGGATAGATACATAGATAGATGGATGGATGGATAGGTAGATAGATGGACAAAAATGACACAAGGGAAAGAAAGAGAGAGAGAGAAAGAGAGAGAGAGAGAGAGAGAGAGAGAGAGGGATGGAGAGAAAGAGAGAGAGATTCACGCCCCCAACCACCTGTCGGTCCATCAGTGGGTTTGCTCTGCCATCCATGCATCGCAACAACTCACTTCTCCTATAGGTTTCCTATTTTTGAGACTTCCGCCACCGCCTTGCGCGGTGCTACTGGTATAATATGAAAAAATATTATGGGATATGTAAGCAATAGTAATATGATAAAATGGGAGTATCATGGAATTTTATGGTTTCTTTGACCAGTTGAATGATAATGGGTCGACCATAGCCCCCTGGGACGCCTTGTAAGACCAGGCGGCCTCTGGTTCAGCGACTGGACCGTTTGAAGTGGAATCCAAATTGGTGACCGGTTCAGAAAAGTCAAATTTCTCCTCAAGGTTCAGGGTTTCATGGTCAATTTCAAGGGTGTAACCCCAAGTATATCTAGTATCTAGTAATTACTTGGGCAGCTGGTTCAGGAATCTCTTGGGCGATTTGGTGGCGAAGATGTATGAATTAACATCACATGCCAGCATTTAGATGTAGGCTAACTGTGGTGAATAGAAGGTTCCTACATTTTTTCTCTTTGAACTAATGTAATATTTCAGATCCCAGCAAAAATTAGTCCTGTCCCACTGCTACTAAGTACCTCCAAGAGCCAGGTTGAGTATTTTTTTGGATTTGTTCATCTTTGGGACACTACGGCAGAAACTTATGACTTATCATCATTTTACAAGTTTTTGGATAGCCAATTGCGGGCCTATCATCATTTTGGACACACCCAAATCCTGATTGACAGCTATGATCAAGCGCCATTTTGACATGGTAATCCCATTATAATTCCATTAACATGCATTGATGGCATATAAACAAAATATTTGATTGCAATTTGGCAATTGTTTTTCCATCTTTAGATGGCCATCATTGGGATTCAACGCACGGACGAAAAAGCCAGGACGAAGCGTTCCTGGATAGCATCATCGCGGACTGCACCGACAAACCTCCGCCACCGTGACCCGGCGGTTTCTTTTTGGTGGGTGGTCAATCTTGAAAGGTAAAACTGGTGAAAACCACTTGTAAATTCACATAGGTATCCCAGAAATCAAAGAAAATGAAACTATTATAAGTTATCTTATTCCCACGCATATTTAGATAGGGTATCTATATGTGCTATCTACATTTTTCCTCAAAATTGAACATTTTCAATCATGTCCCACTAATATACCAGTCTCCAATATTCTACATGTATCAACAGCGTATTTGGAGTGTAGAGCAATCCATTGATAATTTTCTTCTCTCTTGGTAATATCTCGTTAAGTCAGGGTACCATCTAGATTATGGATGATAGTGGAACATTTGTAGATGTTTTCATTGACATACCATTGACCATCAGTCTACTAAAAACATGACAACATGATAGCATATCCCAATAAAATCCAATTTTCCATCATCCAGGAATTGAATGAAGATATTTCCCAACATTTCCCATTCACTGAGGTACCATATTTCCCATGACTTGAAGGATGTTTCAACCCTGGTGATCGAATACGTCCCTTGAGTCAGTCATCCCATCAACAAATCTGATTAGTTTGTGTGAAAATGGGCGAAGGATGATCTTTTCCAGACGCCTTCTATGCAGTGCTATTGAAACATTTGACATAGAATATCCATAGAATATCCACCACTTTTAGCAGATATCATCTGTTTTCAAGGGCAGTTTTTCCATAGCCTATAGCTATATGGTCAATATAAAAGTAGGATATAACTATCAAGGGCTAAAAATAATGATTTTTTCTATCTCCTGAATCATCATTTTTTTTTTAAATTATCAGCGGGTATCCTGTCCTTTGGACGATCCTCCAAGCAGTTCATTGAGACCCCAAGGCGCCCCGGCCCCGACGTAAGGAACTCAGTGGTGTGGCAGGTTGACCCAAAAAGACCTGGTGAATAGGTGGAGCTAGCCAGGGGGGATTTATATATATCATCATCATTTAATTTGGTTGTATATATATATGGCTATGAGTCAATACCTATACATACCATTTGTTAGGGGTGATTCACATCTATTGTAACCCAGCTATTTTGATGTGAACAAAAAAGGGGTACTATTGGTTTTGACACACTGCCATATATAATCATCATTTAATCTGGTTGTATATATATATATTTATATTTATGATATCACTAGTGAATATCAATGGATTATATATCTGGTTGGTGATTTGGAACATGGCTGGATTATTTTCCCCAATAGTTGGGATGATGATCCAATCTGACGAACTCATATTTTTCAGGGGGGTAGGTATACCACCAATTAGTTATGTTTTTTTTTTCCTGGACAATCATTGGGATGATGATGGAATATACCCTCCGGTCATCAGCTCCATGGCTGGTCGGAAAATCCCGGAAGTAAATTTCGAAATGGGATGAATTGAAGGTACCTCTGGAGCATACCCCAAGTCCCTCCAACACTCCAAATGAAAGGAATCCCTTCATAAACCCTCTTTGGGTGGCAAGGGGTATGCTCTAGGAGTTTGTTAGACTTTTCTTGGAGTATGTATGGGGTAGAACCCATTGAAATCCCATGAAATCCCCTTAAGAGATGGTTAAATTCCAATTTTTCCCAGAAAAAAACATCTGTTTCGTTCCTGGACTTCCCAGCCGCACCAAGGCTCAACGAGACTTGCCGAAGCGCCCCTCCTCCCGTGAGGGCAGCTCAGGGTGTGCCGTGGCCGCCCAAAAAGGTGGTTTCATATCCCATTGAAATTACTCAAATCCTAATCCATGAAATTCCCCCAATTCCAATTGATAATTGATTCATATCTCATAAACACCATGAAATCCTCAAAATCTATCCCAATCCCATACCCTCTGGTAAACATACAAAAAGCTATTGAAAATGGCCCAGTCGAAATAGTGGATTTTCCCATTAATAGCATGGTGACTTTCCATAGCTATGTTGACATAACCAGAGGGTAAACCTCCATTTTCCTATGGTTTTCCTATGGTTTTCCTATGGTTTTCCCCATGAACTTCCCATGGATGGTGAACTTCCCCGTCTCGGGTCACCGTAGGTGCCGAGCAGTGGCCCAAAGAGGATGGCCGGCGCCCGGCGAGGCCCAGTCGACCTCCGGAGGCGCCGGCCCCATGGATTCACGAAGAATATGGACCTCACCATCTAAAGATAGAGGTTTATGAAGTTTATGAATATGGATCATCATCCTGGTATTATATATATACAATTATATGTATAATTATATATATATATATATGTGATATCACTAGTGAATATCAGTGGATTATATATATCTGGTTGGTGGTGACTGGAACATGAATGGATTATTTTTTTCCATTCAAGTTGGGAATGTCATCATCCCAACTGACGAACTCACTCCGTGATTTTTGGCGTCATCTCCATGAGAAGCCACTTATGTAGCTACTTCGGACGGACTCACTTGGGACATGAGTATGGATCAAACTTATCACCCCATTGATGTAAGGTGGTGCCTCAGTTGGTTAGCTAAGTTTGTTCACAACTAGGTTAACTGTCAGATTGATGCTGAGTACACTTGTAGTTAGATGGGGTAAGCAACAAACATAACTACGGTGGGCACCTGTGAAGTATTCATAGCCATGATAAGAAATGGACACCCCATTCATGATGTTGCTATGACCATGGGCCTCATTTTCCACATACGCTATTATCCCTCATGATATTCCATGTGCTTATCCATGAATTTTAATGATCATTTGGATAAACAGCTTATATCAATGTTATATCCACTATCCATAAATGTTATAACTAATCCCTTCCCACGTTCATATGAAACACCCCCTAAACCAACCCCTGGTTTTTTCTTGGGAATTTCCACATTGGGACCATCGTTAAATGGGGTGTTTAATATGCGTAATATGAATGGGGGATGGGATTATTATCTTACTTCCCATATGGGTATGGATCAATACCTATTAATACCATTTTTAGGGGGATGAACATCCATTTACCAGCTATTTTGGGGTTCACTAGGGGTACAAGGTTTTGACCCATCCCCATCTTTGGATTATTTGGGCTTCAAAAGCCATCAATCTCCCGGTGAAGTCCATTGGAAAAACATCCAGGAGGCTGAGCGACCAGAGGCGCGAAGAAACCTGACATGAGATCACCGGAAACCATGGATTTTCCCGTGAAGATCATGGGAAACATAGGGGGCTTTCCGGTGACATTTTTCCCTTAAACCTCAATCAACATTTGAAATTGACACTCATGGTTATTTTTCTGATCCATTTAGTTAAATATAAATCAGACATGTTGAATTGCTCATCCATTTCGAATTTTTGAAGAACCAAACTCGTGGTTATACTGTTGTGCTGGATCAGTCAATCATGGACTAGGGATGAGCCAACAATACCTTGTCGGAACAGGTTTTTGACGCTGCTCGCATGTCTTGTGCTTCGAAATGTGGTATGATGGGTTGGGGATTACAGATATTTATTGTTTTTCAAGCAGACTTGGGATAATTGGTTGATATGAATCGTATTTTTGGGATGGGTTGAAAAGACTAACCTGTTTGTTCTTGTTGGCCAAACATACGGAATTTTGCCCAACATGTTTTTTTTTGAATAAAGTATTGGGAAATATGGATGATGAAACTAGTAGCCATCAAAGTGTCTGATCAATTATTGACATTTATCCAGATGTCAGAAGAAAAGCAATTGGTGGGTTGATAGAAAGGTATCGAATGGTCAATGGTAGATGATGGGTCTAACATGGATGTAAGCAACAGGCATACAGTTTACCTGGATTTTGCAACCAGCGATTTTTTCACATCAATTATGGGCAAATGATGGGAAATGGATGCAAATCACTTACCATACCCGCGTAGCTGTTACTGCCCAAAACACTGGCCACAATTTGTCCGCAAAAGACACCAGACATGCCTTGATATTTCACTATTCCAACGATGTTTTTTTTGATGATCTGATGATAATCATGATAGGATCTGAAGCACATCATCCAGAAGAACTGCCCCAAAACCTTTCTTAGCCAGGCCCCAAGCGGTTTGGGGACTCAGTTCGGGCTTGGAGCCGGGCTTGGAGTGTTTAAAATGGGTTTGTCTGAAAATGGGGTATACCTTCGAAATGGCCATTGATGTAGGGAAAATGATGATTAACCCATGGATTTAAAGTTACCATGTTTTCAGTCATGTTTCAAATCTGAGTTGGAACTTTGTGCGCACATTTTTTGCTTGTCGCTCAGATTACAAAGTGGTACACCTTGATGTAAGGCGCTGTCATCAGCATGCTTCAACATATGGCAACAGGAGTTCCATCCCTGCTGTCCAAGAAAAATATTCTCTAGGACCAGTGAGGTTTCAATACTCCCTCTTTCTAGCACCAAGGCCACCACAGAAAGATGACATATCATTTCCCGTGACTTGGAGGAAAGGGTTTCACCTCCTTTCCAATGAAATCCAAAGATCACCGCTCCAAAAATTGATTCCAACATATTCCAACTGTCATCGAGTTTGGAGGAAACTACCGGCCCCGCCCTCCGCAAGGTCCTTCGCCCGAACGGCCGCGGCGCAGGGCAGAGGGCGAACGCGGGGAGCGCGGGGAACGCGGGGAACGCGGGGAGCGCGGCGAACGCGGCGAGCGGCGAGAACACAAGGCGCGGGAACTGATTTGCAGTTGGACAAACCCTTGAAATTTGAAATGCGAAGATCAAAAGTTAGGATTCCGCAGAAAGTCTCTCAGTTGCCATCTGTGCCATGGTCGAAAGTTGATTCATGTGCCCAAAATTGGGGGTCGTAGCACCACCAAGAGGAAACTACACTGCACTGGCCAGTGTAAGGGTTTCCAATAATGGTGGGATGACGATACCCCATGTTTCCCATGTTTTGACCATGGTACATTTTAATAATTTCATACTTTTTCCTGTATGTTGGCTGTGTATATCATGTTCAAATATCGTCACTGGTTGGTGGTTTGGAACATAGATTTTATTTTTCCATACATTGGGAATGTCATCATCCCAACTGACTGATATTTTTCAGAGGGGTAGGGCTCAACCACCAACCAGATTATTATTAATCATCATTAATCATCATTAAATCACCATTAAACACCATGTAATGGGATTGATCTCGACTATCTCACCCCACCGCCTTAGTGGCAGATCCATGGCTGTTGCTGTCCAGGTGTTTTTCTTGCGATCCTTTTTGTTTGACCCGTTGACTATGATGGCTGGACAAACAGCTGATTGGAGCAAAAGGGACATGTGAAAACATGAAGGGATCTCTAGAGAAGTACATCTCCATGCTAGTTCTACTGTAGTTCTACCCTCTGGTTATGACATTCACAGTTAGCCATGGAATAGATGGTCCATAGAAATAGATGGTTTACCGAACTTAATTTCATGGTGGATCTTTCCATGGCTATGTTAGTCATAACCAGAGGGTATCACGTTCTATCCACGCTACGTGTCACATTGTCACAACCTGGAGACAGGAAAAGAAGGAACGCTCCGAGAGGGACCGCAGTGAACGCGCGGTCCGGAGCCTTGGGTGAAAGAAGGAGCCCCGAAATCCGATGCCGAAAAGGTGAACGGTTCAACCACCTGGAAAATGTGGGGGCAACATCATCGAAGCTACCAGCCTGGAAGCACTTTTTCGATTTTTTTTTTGGGGGGTTGTTACCCTCTGGTTATGACTAACATAGCCATGGAAGCCATGGCCCTAATCGAAATAGATTAAATAGATGGTTTACCGAACTTAATTTCATGGTGGATCTTTCCATGGCAAACTGTGAATGTCATAACCAGATGGTAACATATATCATCAATTTATAGATATACAATTATAACATTAAAATTACCATGGGTTATTTAACATGATATACTGTAATTAAATAGACACCATAGAACTGTCTTGGACTTTGACATTGCCGACATTGCCACCTTTCTGGCAATGAGTTGACCCAGATGCAACCCCCAACTTGGGCACAAAGCGTGGGCACTGGCTTGCTCCAAACGGTGAAGAAAACAGCCAGATTTGGGAGGAAAGTTGTAAGTTGACCATTGTATATTTTGTCCTGGCGTTATCCCATTATATAATATAATATCATAATATAATTATATATATAAGTATCACACATGATATGTTTCCATCTATCCCATTGTATATCTTTTCCATCATATCTTATATTATTCTCCATCTATCCCAAATTTGACCATATATTGGGATAATAACATAAGATAGATGGGATAGATGGGATAGATAGAAAATAATCTGATAGATTCTATCCCAACATATCTTGTGCTCACTTTTCTCCTTTTAATTCTTCCAGTTCTTCCAGTTCCCCCCTTGTTGGATGGGAGGAGCCAAGACGCCCAAGACGACCCAATGCATGGCTTCCCATTTTTGGCTCAAACACGGCAGCTCGGGGCAAGCTGCACCGCGCAAATCGCACCCGAGTGGGGCACGTGATAGTCTGTTGAGCAAAGGCCGGAAACTGAGATTTTCAGGAAATCGACCTGTTTTGAGTAGCCGAAAGTAGGCGTTTCGTTGTCCGGGACCTTCATATTTCCATCATATTTTTTTTGAGTCGAAACATTGAGAAGCAGCACTTTTGATGCTAATGAACATCACATTAACCACTCATCACCATGAAAAAAATCGCCTTAAACAATTCCATCATCTATAAAATCCCTTGAAACCCCCATGAATTTCCCATGAAACTCCCATGAACAGCCCCCCAGTTGTAAGCTGGTTTATAAGCCCGATTAATATAAGTTATATCTAGTTGGTTATATCTACCATAAACCATAGTTTTCCCTCCATAAGATAGATAACTATAGATAACTATAGATGATATTCTAACCATAAACCATAGTTTTCCCCACTTAGAAGTCCCATGAACAGATCCCATTTTTTCGGAACCATGGCAGCCCATGGCAGCCCAGCAGGTCGCCACCATGCTCGTCTCGCGGATTCTCCGTGCCACCCATCTGTCCGCCTACTCGGCGTCGGGCTGCCCAGTGGTGACCGTGGTGACCCGGGGTGGATTTTTAAGTGACCGACAGATGCCCTAATATGTAAACAGTGCGTTATGTATAACATATATATATTGTTTATAATATGTATCTGTATACATACTATATATATACATATATATGTGCAACCAATACGATTGAACATGATATACAAGACTATCATCCATGATATGTATAACATGATATACAACACAACATAATACAACATAATACAGAATATTATATATATACATACTATGGATACAACTTAATATTATATGAAATCTTTAGATAAGATGTAATCTCCATATGTAGATATGTATAAACAAAATCATGTGTTGAGTATATATGTATATATACACATATCTATATACATACACATATCTATATACATACACACATACACACACTCATATATATATATATACATAAACACATAAATACATAAATACATATATACACCATAAAGACTCAACATGGTCTGATGAATTCCGGCCTCTCCGTGAGGAAGGGAAACTGGTCGCACTTCTCGATGCGTCAGCGTTACCCGCAGATGTTGAAGGCTCAGACTGTCAGGGGCTCAGAGCTCAGAGGATCATCGGAAAATGGGATCCCTCGAGAATGGCCACATAGATAGCCAGCTAATTGGTTGGTGGTAACCCGGCCTGGTAAACTGGGATTATAGTGGTATAACCATAGGAAAACCATAGGAAAAACCATAGGAAAATGGAGGTTTACCCTCTGGTAAACGTTTACATAACCAAGTACCAAGTTTTAGTAAGCTAAGTTGATACCCTCTGGCCATGGAAAATGGTCCATAGAATTAGATGGTTTACCTAGCTATAAAATGGTGATTTTCCATGGCTATGTTGAATAACCAGATGGTAAATGATTAAATATGATGCACTTATTTCAACTTGTGAATTTTATATCAAAACAAGGTGATTAAAAAACACGATGACTGAGTTGGTTTATAACTCCAGCAACTAAGGGTGGAAGGGTCATCCCGCGTGGTAAGAGATGGGTTACTAGGCGGGTAGGTATAGCCGGCATAGCCGACTTGTGGATGGGATAAGCAACGGGAAGCGTTGTGGATCACCAGGGTTATGAAGCAATTACAATTGTTGTGACTACGACGATTGCGATGATGAGATGTATATATATATATACATATTACATATAATGGGATTTGATGGGTTTATAACCAGTGAAATGATGATGATGATGATGATGATGATGATGATGATGATAATGATCGTGGTGGTGGTGATGGTAAAGGTGATGTGATGCTTTTGATGAGTGAAAAGTCTTACCGAACATCAAGAGCTGGAACCCAGTGGGCTAGTGTCGATTTCTGGCTTGATAGCGATGGAAAATGGCCAATTTATAGATGGTTTACCTATTAAGAATGGTGATTTTCCATGGCTATGTTAAATAACCAGATGGTATATCCCGTGATTCTTAGCGTTTTTGAGGAATCGATTCCCGTCATGATTCATGGGGTGTACCATGTCAACCCCAGATCAATACAGGATCTACAGGTTGATTTAATTAGGGAGCTTCCCCCCAAATAGTGAGAATGTTTGTTGGCACAAAAAAATCAACAACCCAGGGGTCAACAGGGGTTGCAACAGGGGGTTCAGGAGCTGAACTCAGGATCCAACCATCAACGACTTCTTCTTTGAGCTCTTCCTGCGTTGGGGAACCTGACAGTCATGATGGGGATAGGGATGTCAGTAATGTGTGGGTGACAAGTGATGGAACAAGAATAACGTATATGATGTACATAAGATGTACATGTTATGTATAATGATGTATAATGTATGTGTATATTATGTATGGTATGGATATGTATGGATATAGTGTGCGTATAATGGCGTTCCCGCTCAAATCAGGATATAGTTCGAAACCAAATGTGAGTATTTACCCACCGAAATGAGGTCGATTATTCGCCAGCACGTTTTTTTCAAGTAACGAACCATCAGGGGTAGATTGCTTACACCAATTAACTCGACAAAGATGGAGATTGGTGAGCAGTGAAAAAAGACATCAAGTTGGATCACTGCCCAACAGTCGTTTGGGGATGTCACTGGTTGGTTTGGAACATGGCTTTTATTTTCCATAATATATGGGATGTCATCCTTCCCATTGACGAACAATTCCCCGTGATTTTAGATTCAGAAGTCCTCATTTTGGATGAACTCGAAGCCCCCCAAACTTGATGTTTTTCCAGGGGCGTACCCTCTGGTAATTTAACATAACTATTGAACATGGCCATTTAGTTCGTTGATTTACCCATTCAAAAATGGTGATTTTCCGTAGTTAAATGTTGGTTTACCAGGGGGGGGGCATCAAATTCACCATCTCCAACTCTTCCGTCACTGTGCAGGGAAGTGGTTTGCAGATGGCCCATCTTATAACTACGCGTCCGGGGCCCTGGAGCCCATTTGGGCCCCTAAAAACCGTAAATTCCATTGCTGGAATGGACCATTGATAGATGGATTTAGGATGATTTAGGAGTATCCGAGCTTTCAGACAAACCGTTTGACATGATATTTTCTATTCCCCTCCATGAACAGAAAGGTGAAGTGAATCAGGCGAACGTTTGAAGACTGTGCTGGAAAATGCGGGTTCCGAAATCCGCCAAACCATCTATATATATATATATACAGTATATATATCTGGTTGGTGGTTTCAAACATGGCTTTTATTTTTCCATATATTGGGAATAGTACTCCCAACTGACTAATATTTTTCAGAGGGGTAGGTATACCACCAACCAGATATCAGGGGTCACATGTTTTTTTTGGTCCTTGTCAGGAAACTGAGATAAGAAGTGGGAAACTTCTTGCTGGGACGACCCTCCGTCTATACAAAGTGGTGCCCCCCTCAGTTATGTTTGTTGATTTATAAACCGCACCAAGTATAGAGAGATCATCTATCTACCATTTGGCTAGAAACCACGTTTTAGCCAGCAAAAATACCATGGGAAATCCCATTGAATCCACCATTTTTGCTGATAAAGAGATAGCTTCAGGGTTGCTCCACTCGCCACTCCGGTGGTCCATGCTTCATTTGACCTCTTTAACTCGCCATAGCCCCCCACACGTGCATCTGGGGTAAAGGCAGCAGCCCTGTCCCTTCGACTTTTTCAACGGTAGGTTCATCAGTATTGGTGCCTTCGGAGCCTGCATTGGAATCTTGGGGCGCGGGCTTGGGAGCTCAGCTCAGCTCAGCTGGAGGGGAATTGGATGAGAACTAGGGAATTGCTCGGGAAATATCAGGAGAATCTGGGAATATTTAAGGGATAATTAGATTATAATTAGATCATAACTGAAGGGAATATCTGAATTAACCTCTGGATATTTTAACATAGCCATGGAAAATGACCCATTTATAGAAGGTTTACCTAGCTATAAAATGGTGATTTTCCATGGCTATGTTAGTCATGGTCACATTTTGAGAGACATGAAGTTGTAACTTCCGTCGAAAGAGCTTTGTCTAAACATTTCACGTTGGG